GCAGCCACACACAGGTCTGGTAGCTTTCCTTCACTTTTGTTTCCAAGTGTCAGTGCATATGTAGAGTCATCAAGCCATAGAATTGTTTGGGTTGGAAGGGAACATAAAGACCATCCAGTTCTAACCCCCCCACTATGGGCAGGGGCACCTTCCATTAGACCAAGTTGCTTAAAGCCCCATCCAACCTGGCCTTGAGCACTTCCAGGGATGGGGCTGCCACAGCTTCTCTGGGCAAGCTGTGCCAGTGCCTCGTCACCCTCACAGTAAATAATTTCTTCGTAATGTCTAATCTGTATCTCCCCTCTTTCAGTTTAAAGCCATTGCCCCTTGCTTCATCCCTACATGCTCTTGTAAAAAGTTCCTCTCCAGCTTTCTTTTTGGCTCCTTCACGTACTGGAAGCTGCCCTAAGGTCGCCCCACAGCCTTCTCCAGGCTGAACAAGCCCTACTCTCTTAGCCTGTCTTCATAGGAGAGGTCTAAAGAGACCTCAGCTCCCTGCACCCTCCCAGCCTCCCTGTACTGAAGTGTGACTCAGACTTTGGGCTTTATCTATGTGGTTAGAACTGCATGAAGCTCCCATCCCATGACTTTTGGTCCAGACAATCCTTAGTGGACCTGTCTGAGTCCTGAGCAGACTTCTCAAATTCTTGTCTGCAACATTCCTGACTCTTTCTAATATTTCTTATTATACATCTGGAAATTCATCCATTAGACACAAACTCACTGGACACCAAGCTTCCTTGCTTCCACTGTTCATATAAATAGCCTTTGACAGTTGTGAGTGAGCCTCTGGGACAGAGCAAAATAAGTGGATAAGGCTCTGGTGGCCCTAATGCAATATTGATAGATGTGATAGTCGTATCCTATCTACGCCCTTGCACCTACAGCTCTGGCCATTGGAAATGTCACATTTTCCAGCAATGTCTTTTTCAGTGCTCTTTCAGTTAGATCATATGAGAAAGTGAAAGCAATTACTCTGAGTTACCTCAGGTTTAATCCCCATTTAACATGCCTCTCTAGAGTCCATGTCAGCATGTACACTGGGCACGGACTCCAGGTTTAATCTGTGGGATGACAGACGCATGTGATGACTTGACACACGTTATAGTGTGAATGTGTCCTTTAGGAGAAGTAGTGTTTAGCTATAATGTAATCTGCTTCTTGAAGAAAAATTTCTGGAAGACCTAAAGCAGTTCTTTCTGCTCAAGAATATATGGATTGTTTCATTAAAGTGCTTTTTCAAGAGCAGCTCTAAAAAAGCTTGCAAAATTGAGTGGTTTAACTTTAATCATCCCAGATGTTTGCTTTCATAATGAGTTGCTGTTTGGGTTAGATACAGGCACCTTTTAGTCAGAGAATGCAGTGTTTCCTACAGCAGGAACAAGTTTTTCTTGAAGTAATAAGAACAGCTTAACCTACTTGGAATTAAAAAAGAAAAATAGTAATTGATTTAGAGAATAAAGTGTTAGAGAACAGAATTTTCTCCTTCACAGGCTGTCCTCTCCACAGTTGTGCTTATAGTTAGTGGAAGAGCTTGCCGCCAGCAGTGTTCAGAGCTCTGCAAGGCCTGTTGGCTCTATATTGGCTCTTAATTAATGACCCGCATTCTCACAGCTGCAGAGACCTTCTGTGATGTGGCTGTACCAGCAGAAAACAATGGAGTTCTTTATTTCCAGCTGTATCTGTCACATGAATAAAGGACGTGAATTTGTGCTGGAGGGTTGCTGTTGGCTGCAGCATGGACATTTGGGGGAGTTTGTGGCAAAGAGAGTATCATTTATAAGATTTAGAGGTCTGAGGACAAATGGTTAATCTGTCTTCAAATGCAACATGCTGGGTTTTTCTCAAGCACACCATGTAAGTGAAGCCCAGTTGGCCAATTCTGGCTACAGACAGCTGCATTGTTTGAAAAAAAAGTTCAAGGCCCTATAGTGGAAGACTTGAAATGGAATGCAGCCTTTACAAATGGTCAAGCTGTATTAATCTCATGCTTATTAATATTTTTCAACAAAGCCAGCATATATCTCTGCTTTTCTGCTGAAGCCACTCAAGCTGTATCTGGTGGCTGTGCCACCAACAGTGGGTAGAGGCTAAATTCTTCCTTTTACCATGAGCTATAAGTGCTCATAGGACATCATCAGAGCTGTGATGCTTTGATTCTGAACTGCTCCTGTCAAGCTCAACTAATTCCTCTAAGGTAACCTTCGGTTGCCTCCCACATAGGGCAAGTATTTAATGTGCACCATGAGGACAGCACCTCCGAGGAAATGTCTTCTGTAGCTAATGTATTGTGTAACTCAGCATCAAACATCAAGAAATGTGAACTTCCTTGAACCAGCCTATGTAGGGAGAAGTTGACATAGTACTATTGATTTTGGCCCGGATTAAGCACTTTTGCCCAACTCTGGCATAGTGGTTGGAAGTGAGAACTGTGTTTGCTTGTGAAAGAGCAAGGTCATACACACATGCTTGTATTTGCTAGTGAACGTTCATGTGCATACACGCACACTTACATATGTAGACAGACTTTTTCTAGAAGTGGGGATACTCTTGCTGTGGTTCAGGCCAGTGCATGTTCCAGAGGATTTGCCAGCTTCTGCATATGGGTTTGGGTGGAAATATTTGCACATTGTCCTGCCATTGTTTTAAGTGCCAGAGCAATCCCATTGTTTGAACAGGATCTTGATCAGAGGCGATTCTGAGTGAGGGAAGAGTGATTCAGAGCATGTTGCAATTAATTATTGCTCCCCCCCCCCCCCTTCCCCCATGACTATTCTGTTTTTATGAATGCTTAACAGAATCTTTGCCTAGCTTCATTAAGTGCCTTACTGAGCAAAAATAGCCAGAAGTGCTGTTAGCCTTTCCACCAGTAAGCGTGGCCATGTATTGTGTACCTGCCAAAGAGCTGGAGGAGTTATTACAAGCAACCAACCAAATCCTACCACACTCATCAGAAACACGTATCAAATTCCACAAACTTCTGTTACTGATCAGCAGTATCTGAAGCTGGTTCACATGTGCTCCATGCACCTTCACAAGTATTGCCAGAAACAGACCTCTGCAGCTGTTGCCTGCAGCTGTTTGTGTTTTAGCCCTGATTTCATAGCTCTGTACATGCTGGAGAAACCAAGATGAGTGACTGCAACCAGTCTCTACAGCCACAGGGAAGGACTCTAATACTATGCCACAATGTAAGTAAGGCCACAAACACGAACATAGAGAAGTCATACTGCTTCTGGCAGCTGATTTGTGATTTTCTTGCCAGATGGGTCACGTACTGCTTGTGGCTGACCCTCCAGAGAAATCCTGTAGTTGGAACTTGCTGATTCTTCTTGGGATATCTCCATGCTCCCATAGCCTCACCTTCTCTTTAGCTGTGCAGGAGAGGGGACTGAATTGTCCAGCCTCTCCCTCTAATTTTCTTCCCTGTCTTCTTTTTCCCTCTTCCCCACCACCCCACCCCCCCCCCCGCCACAATTTTCCCAAGGGAAATAACTGGTTTCTGCTTTGCACCGTTGAAAGCTGTTCTTGGTTTCTGGCCTGATGTTGTCCTAGAGAGAGATCACACCTTGAAAGCAAAATGCTGTTAGTGAAACACTAACAGAGCATGATATTCAGTACATGGTAGCACTTCTCTAGGAAGCAAAAGTTTGAGTTATAAAGTATGGGACAGTTTGATCAAGAATGTGAACATTTAATGTTGGTTGGAGGCATAGAAAGATGATGGACAGTACGCATATGTCTAATAACTGTTCAGCATTTGTACTGTCAGTGGTTCAATACTGACATAGAAGGAAAACCATCATGCAACCAAGAGCAAATGCTTGTCAGATGGTTTTGAGATTTACTCAGCATTCAGATTATGGGCAAAGTTGGTTCAGTCTTGAGATCACAGCATGTCCATGCATTTTCTGTGTCAATACCCTGCCCTTTTGGCATCCACATTGAGACTTCTAGTAATTTCTGATATAAAGACTCAATAGCACAAGTGTCACTTAAATACCTTCTCAAACCTGTGCTACTCTTGTGTTAAGGATTGTTTATTCCAGGGATTTGCTCACACCCATGGAGTCATTCATGTGTGAATGGGAACTCTTGTGCTGGAAGGTACATGGTCCTCTTGGCTTCATGGCATTTTTTCCCTCTTTCTTCAGCAGATGGATGTCAAAAATTATGGTTTAATTGTGGGAAAAGTAGGCAGGTGAAAATAAATAAATGCTTTTTTGCTGTTCTGTGCCAAGCAGAGATGAAAATTCCTTCCTGGAGTTTGCTGGCAAAGAAGGACAGGAGTAAGAAATGAGGGCATTTTCTTTGCAGGACCACAGCTAGGCTGTACAGGGGTTGAGGAGTGAGGGTTTCAGGACCTTCAAACTCTTCTGGATGGGGTGGGTTTCCACTTTATGTCCATCTGGTATCCAGGACAACCTGTGTGCAGGGGCTCACATGAGGAAGAAACATTCAGTCTCTAAATTGGCAACTTTGCCATCATATGCACCTTGTGATATATACCTTTCTTCTCTCTGCTTGTGCAGTTTTTCTTAACACATGGGTGGGGGCTGAGAAAAGAACTCCTAAATCTGCACAGAAATAACTCAAACGCATAACTGTTATGGGAGCATGAGCATGGCAATGCCTCTCCCTGCATCTTTTTGTGTTACCTGAGAGTCCAGCTCTGGAGGGAGTGAGAGCTCCTCAGAAGGCTGAATGTCACAGTCAGCTCAGAGAAATTCACCCTGAAATGATTATCAAGTCTAAGCCAAAAACTGAAAAATCCATTTAAATAAAGCTGATTATTGTTATTATTATTATTATTACCCACCAACTTGAAGTGCTAAATAGATACTTTCCACTAAACTCATACTAGTACTTGACTTGGAAACAAAGGATCACCTCCTAAGATTCATTATGTATCAGTAAGGACTAAAATAACTTGACTGGAAAAAAAAAAAGTAAAATCTAGCTTTTAAAGCATCCCTATTCCGTAGGTTGTGCTGATTATTGCTTTGTGCTGCAGGACTGTGATTTTTGGCACGCAGTGTCACATACCAAATTCCCAAAATAAAATGCTACATGATATTCTAAGAGCGCCTCAGAAGCTTTAAAAAGGGATTTGTCCACCGAGTGGGTATCTCTTCTGGTGAAGCCAAATGATGCAGCAGGAATGGTTTAAGAGGCGAAAACTTTAAACAGCAGATAATTGGTCATTTTAAATAAGCACGAGGAGAAAAAAAGGAAACCTTCCATCAGTTTTATGTTCATAAAAGTTGTCAGCTATCCTGCTTTGATTGTAAAGAGTTTACAGCTATATGTTTGAATAGCTAAAACATCTGTTCAGCAACATTGTGAAATCGTCGTTTTCGGAGCCCTTGATAAGGGGGACCTGCTGAGTGATTGGCTCATACCGGCTCTACAGGCAGCAAGGGCTGTACACTCAGTGGTCACCACTCGCCTTTCCTCCTCCTGGTCAGAGGAAAACGTAGGAGACAGCTACTATTTTACACGCAATTTTCCTTTGAGAGGCAGAGAGCAGGAAGTGCCTAGGAAATGGTTCACGACAGAAACCTGGAGCTGTAAATAGGAGAGAGGAGGAGGAGAGCTCATGGGTGCAGTTTGTGAAAGCTGAAATACTGATACTACAGCAGCAGAGGAAACCCAGACTTCTGTAAGAGCAAGCACATCCTAGGCCATCCCAATGGAAGGAGAGACGGTACCTGAGTCCAGCAGAGCAGCCAGCAAAGCCACGCGAATTGCTCTTGGGATCTTTGTGAGTGGCACTGTTGTGCTTGGCACTGCACTTTTCTTGGGTAAGTGAAAAGGTTGAGGATAACCTCAATGCAACCCTCCCCAGCCTGGCTTCTTGATGCCAGAGTTTGTTCTCCACAGTCTGTTTTCGTGAAAATCGCAGTCTTTTCTTCTTTTCCCCTCATTTTATACTTATGCTGAAATGGAAATGTGTCAGGAGAAGGATTTGTTGTGGGAACACTAGAGCTAGAAGATGCAATGTGAGCTCATGTAACTTTCTGAATGCTGAATTTATGTTTGGATACTCAGTTGAATGTGTTCTCACCAGAACTGGGTTCTTGCACAAAACAGGGAGAAACGGGTGAAACTATGCATGTCACTAATGCTGGTTCCAAATGCACAGTTTGTGATCGATGTGCAGTAATACTCTCTGTTTCCTGAAAATGAATCTGTAGTGCACACATTTTATGGAATCTTTTGGGTTTTCCTTCATTTGGTTTTCATTTAGGGCTTGACTAATATTCCTGTAGAAGGCTTCAATAGTGCATATGCTTGCACATTTTTTAGATCTTTCTCGTCTTCTGTGATGAATCGCAAAGTCGGCTTTGCAAAAATCAGAAAGATTATATCCAGGATAAGATTAAAACTTTTTGATCACATTCATAAGCTGTAACTGGATGAAATAGAGAAGGAATTAGTTTTTCTTTTCCAGGATTTGGACTCATCTGTAGATCGGTTTTGTTGGAGTATTGCTTGGAAACATACATCTGCACCTATAAAATGATGTGAAGAAGTATAAACGAACCCAGAGCCACAAAGCAGAAAAAAGAAGAGAAACCAATGTTATATCTTGTAAGAACTTTCAGAGGCAGATACTGTCTGAGAATAATTCAGCCCAACTCTTCATTTCTTTAGACCAACACAGATTTCCCTGGACTAGACGGAATGTAGCCTCTAACCATTCTTTTGATTCCCTCCAATCTTTTATAATTTTGTGATCTTGTTAAAAGGTTGCAAATAGTTAGTGTTTTTCTGTTCTAGAGCAAAATCTCCAAACATTTGAAGGCAAGTAGCTTGTGTACAAGTGAGTAATCCCACTCGGTTCAACCAAACCCTTCATAAATGTGAGTAGGTTTGAATCTTCAACTTGCTAGTACAAAATGTTGTTTCTAGATGAAAAACAATGTTTTTAATCTCAAGAATAAAGTATCAAACACCAGAAGGTAATGGAGAGACCTTATTTCCATTTTATTTTTTTTAGCACTAGATTGTTTGTTTATTGCTTGTAAAAAGCAGACATTTGCCACCGTAGCTTTTCAGAGATAGAATTGTTTTATCCATAGACCAGACATAAAAATTTAAGCCAACATATTAATTCTTAGGCATAGTTTCTATTCCATAGCCAGTGTCAAAATTTTCATTGGCATAACTGCTGAGAAAATAAAAACGCTGGCTGTGGGCCAACAAAAATGTTTGTAGGATTTATCTGGGAGTTGTCCAAGGTTTTCAACCAAAAGAATAAAGGAAAAAAGTTAAATTGTTTTGGCTCAACATTTTATCAATGCAATGTTTCAGAGTTTCATTGTGACACTCTTGTTTGTAAGTTTAACTCTTTTTTTAGATTTGTTAAACTGTAGAAAGGAGACTGTTATTACTGGTCCTGTGAAACATTTTAGGCACCTCAAAATGACTTCTTCAGTTTTCATTTATTTTACAAAACTTGCTGTTTCTGGTACACCTGGAATGATTTCCCTTCAATTTCTCACACTGAGGAGTGACACGTAGCCTTCTTCTGCTTCTCTTGTTTTTCTTCTCATGGGTTCCTGCAACTCTAAGAAGGAATCTGAGAGAATTACGTATTTTTATTTAGTGTTGCTCGGTCTTTCCAGCTGTAGCCATACTATGACTCCAGCAGGGAGCTACCAGAGGAGTCACTTGGCATCAGATTGGGTCCTGCCTGCAGCTCTCTGGACGGTAGTGTGGGTTGTAGCAGGAAAGGAGCCACTTCCTGCTTAGGAGCCAGGGTCAGAGCAAAAGAAAGCCATTCATTCTCCAGTTCCCCTGGGCAGGAAAGAAGTCATGCAACTTTGAACTTTAATTCGGTAGCCTCTCCTCCCGACTTGGTAGACCCTGGATTTCTCAGATTATAGGAACATCCACACCATTTGCTTCTGCATATTGGTGTTTTCCCTTTCCGTTTTTTTTAGGAGAACTTAACTACAATGTGTATTTGCTTAAGAATCTGGAAACAGGTTTATAAAGGAAGAAGCTGGGACATTGAGTGTTATAACAACTGTAGGTAATAATGTAATGGTTAGTTCTCTTAACAACAACAAAAAGGTACAGGAAAGAAGCCAAGTAAAAATTTTCAATCAATATTAGCTGTTCATTGAAAGGTAAATAATTGTTTTTAGTTTGTTTTTAGTTTGCTCTAATGGTGATGTAAATGGAACAAAACCAGTTGAAATGGTATTTTGCATTTGTTTATAAGTATCAAAACTCTGAGGGCTACTTCAGATTCTCTACTGATTCGTTTTCGTTCTCCCTGACTTCCCACTAAGTGCGGAAGAATGTGCTTTGCTAAGGAAAAAAATCTAGCAAACTTTCAAGACCTGGATGGGTTGTAAAAGGCTAACTTTAAAAAAGGGACAAGATGAGCTGAGAGGAGAGCAACAATTAATAGGCATATTATTCATTATTTGTGCTTCATGTGGCTCAAAATCATATTTTGGAGACCTCCATTTCTCTTGTTTTTTACTATTCTTCAATCTTTATATGTTTCAAAATCTCATGTATTTCTTGGCTAATTTACAAAGGTGGTTTCACTGTGTTCATGCAAGCTTTGGTAAAGTTATCCAGAAACAGTTTTACATTCTCAGTTTCTAAGTAAATCTGATTGTAATCCAGCAATTTCTGTTGTTAATTGTCATTAAAGCTATGGGGCTGGAAGAGATTAAACTCTTACTTTAGTTTTTTTATTTTCCTGTGCTGAAATACCATTTCACATTTTCCTATCCCTTTTGAGCAGTATATAACCACAGGAGAAACTGCTTTATAATTATCAGTGCTGGTGAAATTATGATACCTTGATACATTCCATTGTTGTTGTTGTTTTTAATTTATTTTTTATTTTGCCATGGACCAAGTTATTAATATAATTAATATAATTAAACATTTGTCTACTGAACACATCTACTGAGTCTTCATCTACCCCTTGGGATTCTCCCATCCTCATCCAAAGTATCAATTATCTGCATATTTGCTGCCTGACAACAGTGTCTGCAATTAAGCTTCTGTGGCAGCTGTAATACAAATTTTTAAAAGATGGGCAAAATTAACTGACAATTTCATAGTTCTCATCAGCAAAGGTTTTGGAAGCAAATGCAGTTACAATACATTTGGGAGACAATTCAGACAGAAACTATGCTGTGCTTTATAAACCACAGCTATCCCTATGCCCATTGCTGACTGGTGTATTCTAGGCTGGAATAAGGGGACACTGAAAGCATCCTCTTGGTGCTGGGTCATGCTGGTGGGGCTGTGCAGCTTGGTGCTTCCAAGCAGTGTGAGCCCCACAGCTCAGGAGGAGCTGTGGATACCCTGTGGAAGGTGGCTAGATCATTCCATGTTGCACTGCCAGCTGCGGAAGTTGCATCTCTGGAGGATGGTAGTGACAATGATTAATTGTCTGCATTGTGTTGGTGAGTGGGGCTGAAATGCTGGGACAGGTGCTGTGCAAACCATATGCTGAGAAACAGCCCTTTCTCCATCCTGCCTACAAGCAAAGGCAGAGAAATGAGGCACAGGAGGGCAAAAGTTTTTTTACAAGCTGCAGTATTTACTTAATATGAGTTCTAACTTCTTTAAATCAGTGTCGTCAGAGATGTGTTGAGGCCAGAGCTTGCACGGACATTTGAATGATCAGGTACACAACATTTGGCTGCAATGGTCAAAATTCACTACAAATGATCTCATAATGGTTTTCCATTTTGCAGTTAGCCAAGGTATTATAAAGTTTCAGCCAAAGCAACAGTACTGTTTGACCGCAGAATGCATTGAAGCTGGTAAGCAACAATTTTATTTTCTCTATTGTATCACAATTGTAGTATGTTAATGAAATAATTATCCTGTTTAGTTTTTTTCATGAGACATTTTACTCAGAAATCGTCATTAATGAGGGGAAAAAAGTCCAACAAAGTTTTAGAAAGTCACTGTTTAAGTTGCTAAAGATCTGTGTATATTCTGCAATGGAAATTAATGTTTTAAATTGTTTTAACTCTATTCTACCCAGGTTAACTCAAAGTTTCCCATAGGGCTTATTTATTTTTTGGCTAGAAACAAAATATTGGGTGACTTGACCTTCAGGTGTATTTTGGTGTTCCACTAGTCAGCAAACTAGCAAGTGAATTGCTAAGCACAGAAATGCATTAGGGCCAGATCTTGCACAGACTTGCACAATTGTAATGTGGTGACTGTGACTCAAAATCTGCTAATTCCCTATCAGCAGGCTCTTTTCCCAACACAGATACATGTGGTAACCTTCATAGAGCTGGGACATCTATTCATATTAAATGTGAGCTAAAGGGACCAAGATTGGTAGGACACCAATTTTGCGCTGGTCAGTTTTGAGAGTTTTCCTCACACTAAATAAGAGTCTTACAATTGAGTATAAAGATCAAACAGTAGTAACCACATCTGGAAATCTGCCCCTAGAGTTATTTTACTGGAAACAAAGTGGACATTGTGTGAATTTATAAGAGTATTTATTTCCATTTTGAGTCATTTTAAGCTGATATTGTGAGGTGTTTGGAGTGAGAAATTCTGTGGCACTCTGTAAATTGCAAAATTTGCAGATCTCAGCATTACCAGGATGTTTCTTGTCGTTCTGCTTCCACTCTGTGATGCGCTGATGGTGCTCTTGGTCACCGTGAGCACCATGCTCTAGGGCTGATTCTTGAATGAGTGCAAATACCTAAGTAAGGTGTGATGACTAATCAAAATACTACCACTGCCAAAAACCCAACCAAAACAAACAATTGTAGGGGCTTCATCATGAGCTTCACAACAAAAAAAATGTCACTTACAAGTTTAAATCTAAATTGGCTTTCTTCTTCTCCCATGCACACAAAATAACATGGAATTTTGGGTAGGCTCAGCCGGAGCTGGGATTTTAACCAGAGCAGACTTGGACACCTGCACGTTCTAGCTCAAAGTGCACTGAGTAGTGACTACATAGTATCTCAAGGCCTAAGCCCTGCCCTGCTGTACAGCTTTTCATGAAAGAGAGAAAATTACCAAGGATGGAAACGTCTTCAATGTAGTCAGTTTGAGAGTTTCTCATGTGAGAAAGAGAGTTGCAGCTGAGATATAGAAATACCATTGGAAGATTTACTCTAAGTGTATGAAGAAGTTACTGCATGCTAGAAATAGTACCACAAAGTCTGTAAAAGTTATGTGAATTCCTGCTAGGAATTTGAATCAGTTATTTGGCTAAATCTCAAAACACATGGTCATTCAGCCAAAAAAATGTAGAGTATCCACATATTCCATGTTACTCAACCCATGCAGATTTATGGCACGGTCACTATAATGTGTGAAAGGGCTAATGGTTTTAAGCTAAAAGAGGGTAGACTGACACTACATATAAGGAAGAAATGTTTTACTATGAGGGTGGTAAAATACTGGAACATGTTGCCCAGAGAGGTGGTGGATGTGCCACTGCTGGGGACATTCAAGGCCAGGCTGGATGTGGTTCTGGGCAACCTAATCTAGTTGAAGATGTCCCTGTTCATTGCAGGCGAGTTTGACTAGATGACCTCTGAAGGTCCCTTCCAACCCAGTCTATCTTATGATTCTATGATTAGGTACTCAGAAACTACTAAGTCTCTAGCTTGTCAGACGTATCTCTTACCAGTCTCACCTGCAATAGCAACTAGCAAGGATGCAGTCACAAAATGGAGCTGAAAATACTACAATTATCTTTTCCAGTGAATGGTAGATGAGAACCTGATTTGTTTTCCTGTGCAGCTATTCAGCTTAAGGTAAACAGTGCATAATTTCTGGAATACTAATTACAATCTGATTGATATGTGTGCTACTAAATTCTTCAGGCAATTAATTCTATCATGGCAACAATGAAGAGCCTGTCTTCAGGTGCCTGGCTCCAGCAGTTCACATTCCTGCAGTGGTGCCATGGTCATTGCTGTACAGCACTTAGGGGCATTCATTGGAGGCATTTTGCAGGGGGGTTTGCTTCCGATGCAGGCACTGTTGGATGCTAGAGATGCTGGGTGGTATTTTTGACACTATTTGAAAAATTACAGAGATCAGGGCAAACATCAGTCCCAAAACGGGCAAGGCTTAGCTTACAAGTGAGGTCAGCATCATGCTGCAGAGACTGGTAGGTGTTAATACTCGTTTCTGGAATGTGGCCTCGTGGAATTCTCCGTTTAGGAAAAAATGTTCCACAAAATCTGCGTGGTGTCTTTTTTTACAGCTGCTGGCATCCTAAGCAAGATAAATCAATCTGTAGATCCGTGTGAGAATTTTTATCGATTTGCATGTGATGGCTGGATATATAATCACCCTATTCCTGAAGACATGTCAAACTATGGTGTTTATCCTTGGCTGAGACACAATGTAGACCTCAAACTAAAGGGTAAGTATGTCATTACTGAAATTGGTTGGTTGCCCTGTTACTGTAGCTTGTTAATGGGCTCATTTTGAAATGAATGAAGGCTCCAAGCTTCTTTCTGATCATTAGATAATATCCAACAGCCCAACTTGATGCTCTCTTTTAAATACGTTATTGTTGGTTTCTCATTGAAAGTAACATTGAGACAAAGTGAATTATAACAGAATCAGAATTTGGGCGGAAGAATACAGCTGCTCAAAACCCTGCCAGTAAAGAATAGAGGGACAAAAAGATATTCCTTATACCAAAAGAAAAGGCTAAGGGATTTGACCACTTTCCACCTTGCAGTATAGACCGGACTGCAGGAGCACAGCACTCACATTTAAGATTGTCGCAGATCCAGACAAACATCAGGTTAGGAGAATGCTTTGTCTGTAACAGTGGCCAATAGCAGGAAAGAAAATGCAATAAGGCAAAACCAGAGTGATATTTTTCAGTACACTCACCTAGCTCTTGGCAGGAGGCAATTTACAGATTTCCGGAGACAGAGGTTGTTTGGGTATTGAGTTTCCTTCGTGTTGCAGTTTAAGCTGCCGTTGAAGTACCTGAGCTGTCATCAGTGAAACAGAATGCTGCTTAAGAATGTGTGTCTGGAGGAAAAAATAGCCCTGGGGTGGAAGCGTGTAGGAAGAGAGGTATTTTAATGTGCATGTGGCTTGACTTTGTGCTATACTTTGCAGCAAGGCCAAAGGCTTCATCAGGAAGCTGTGCAGACCAGCTGGGGAGAAAGGGTGATGATTACTGTTGGGTAGGAAAACCCTGCCAGATTCTTATAATCTTCATTAAAAGTGAGTCATGCATAAGAAGGGAGATGTGCAAGATTTTATTATTGTTGGTGGTTTGCTTGAGCATTGCACACCTTGAGCACATTGTTGACATAAGAGCCTGATTTGAGGTCACCACAGAATAGAGGTCAGTTTCACAATGCTATATTTAATTGTAGCATTTATTTGTCTCTTAGATTTTGTACATATGTGCATGTGTAGGCATCAAAGCTCTTCTCCACTTGCTTTCTTCAGCCATATCATATTCTATTTTTCCACCACTGAGTATTTTTAAAGCTGCATTCAGTTTCAGAATATTAATTTGGAATCTCAGTATAGGATATGATCTGATGACTGCTGTTTTGAGTCTGCTGAAGATGTCACAGAAGGAAAGATGTCACACAAAGGGAAAAATATTGCCAGGGCCTGTTTTAAGTTAGGTTTTGCATTCTAATTGTTCTGCTGCCAGAATCAGGCTGTATTAGATAACTGCACATCCTGCACAAACCACAGCCACAGTGAAGCCAGTCCTAATTGAATATAGAGTAGTAAGCTGTGACTCATCCTTAATTTCCTCTTTTTACAGAGCCTAATCAAGAACATCATGCTATGCCACATTTTTATATGGTTTTCTTACTGCAGTCCCTTTAGAAGCTGCTAATCCACAGCTAGTAAAGTGTAAGACAAAGAAAGAAACTTCTAAGTGAGAAGTATTTGCTTAATGGAAACTCTATATCAAAAAAGGCGTGTAATGAAGTGCCTGATAATAATACGTGGCCTAAACTGCTCCTTGGCATGATAAAGGGACAAAGATGTGAAACGTTGGGTGGTGTAGAGGAGTTGATTTAATATAACATTTTTCATCCTCTCCTTAGCTTTCTATTTAATAACATTTTCAAAATATAATATTGGTAATAAAAAAAGGAAAAGGAAAGAAAAAGAAAAAAAAAAGTGTTGGATGTCACTGTTGGTACCTGAAATAAGAAGGCATCACTTCAGCCTCTACGTGTATGTTTCAGTTTGAGTCACCTCGATAAATTAGCTTGATACCGAGTTATTCACTTGTGGATGACCAAAACCTTGCTATCAAAAGTTTTAGCAAGATGAAGAACTCTTGCATAGGGAAACTGATATATGGCTGACCAGACATTGGAAGCCATTTTAATATCTCTTTCCTAAAGAACACTTAGTGGAACTATATACTTCCCTTTAAATATCCCTGTTTGCAGTCAGTAGATGAAAAAAGACTCAGTCTTTAAAGAGCTGATTATTAAGTAAGTTCTATTTTATGAAATATTTATCACATTAAAGAAAACTATTAATCTCCAAGTGATAACATGGCTTGGCCAGAAAGCCACATTTTTCATATTTGATATTCTTTGATGTGATATAAGACGGAAGTATTTATTCAGGCAATATGTTAAAAAATGGTGTTACTTAAAATAAATTATTTGAAAACATCCAATCCTTTTTCTGGTCCGTGAATTTTCCTGAGCCTTAGGCAAAAAAAGTATCTGTGCAAAGACCTGTGTGTAGCCTTTGTTACACAAGGATATCTTCAGTCTTCTGGAAGCTTCATTTCTTGTTGAGGGACAATTGCTAGGGAAGATCTTCCAGTTGATAATGGGTAGCAAGTGTAAGAATTAGTTTTGCCTTACCAAAAAGTGGTAAGTGTAGCTGTATAATGTACTGAACCCTGCATTAAGCATTACTGAGTTTGAGAGAAAAGCTTTTTCTTTTTCCTTTTTTTTTGAGGTTGCAGACACTCAAGAGCATACAACTTTGCAAGTGTCAGCTTCAAAAAAGGGCAGCACATTTTCTGTATCAGTGAACATTTTCAGAGCAGAACATTTTCTGTATCAGTCTTTTTCAACTTGTTTATCAATGACCTGGGTGAAGGGCTAGAATACGCCCTCAGCGAGACTGCTGAGTACACAAAGCTGGGGGCAGTGGCTGATACAACTGAAAACTGTACTGCCATTCAGTGTGACCTTGACAGGCTGGAAAATTGGGCAGAGAGAAACCCAATGAGGTTCAACAAGGGCAAGTGTAGGGTACTACACCTGGTGAAGAGCCCCAAGCACCAGAGGAGGCTAGGGGCTGACCTGCTGGAGAGCAGTTCAGCTTAGAAGGACCTGGGAGTATTCGTAGGTGATAAGTTGACTATGAACCAGCAGTCATATATATTTATTGCTCCCATGGGTTTCTCTGGTTGTTTTAGGATGGATTCAAACTAAAATCAAGTAACAATTTTCTCTTTATTTTCCATCCTTTGAGGGTCACTTGGATTTCTTTTTCTCCTCACAGAGGACTCTACAAACCACATGTGTAACTCACGTTGATCTCCTAGCTATGCAAAATGGGTAAAGTCCTAACCTGGTGAAAGCAGTGGTAGGTCTCTCCTTGGACATCAACAGCAGGATTTCATGCACTGTGGAGAAATATACAGAAGATAATTGTAGATAGCCAAAGATATGTCAAAAGCGGAGATTTAGGGGCTTGGTTATGACCCAGATCCAGGTAATGAACATCTAATATTTAGATTAAAATTTTTAGTTCCTTATAGAACTGTCCTGGATCAAAGTACTCCTACTTCCAGTTAAGCGTTCCTATCTGGACCAGGCTGTCTGTGACTTGAAGACAGCCTTTCATTTGCTCATATGCTGCAGGCTTGTTAAAAATTCCCTCTCACTGGTTAAACACTTTCAGGGTCGATGGGCTTCTGAGGAAGTTCTTGGAGTACTTCAAAATGGAAAAAATTGCTTTGACTGTGGCAAAAAGCAAAAGCTACCTCAAACTGCAACTGTTTCAGCCTTATGTCAAGATTGCAATGTCTCTGCGAGTTAATAAATGTTTTTCACTTGCCATGAAATTTCCTGCAAAGCTCTTTGTGTTCCTGATGATTTTTTCCAGTTTGATTGGTGACTTTAATTAAGAGTTTAGGGGCACTATTGTCTTACTATTGAAATGCAAGTGGTTTTTTTTTGTGAATAATTCAGAACTTGGAAGTCTCAGGCAAGTAAATCAGTGCCTATTGCCTGTGGTGAATGTTGATCCTGAACCAAGCAGTTTCTTTTCCTTTCTCTGAAGTCTGCAGAACAATGATGTACAACTGGGGTTTTTGCTTGGCTTTTTTTTTTTTTCCTTTTTTTTTTTTCCAAGTGACCATGCAGGAAGCAATAAATTAAAAATAAAAAAAAAAACAACAAACCACACAAACATTCCTAAATCTCAGCACTGCAAACAAGCTGCTTTGACTTATGTGAATCATTTGTGAACGAGTCTTCCAGGCCTTTTAACTTTGATTTATGTCTGTGGAAACCAGTTTACAGATTAGGTCTCCATACTGATCTTGGCCCAGTGAGAGACCTACTTCAGACTAATTTGCTACACTAAGCTTTCTAGTGTGGCTATTTTCCGAATAACAGTCAATTTAAAGTGAGGAATTTCCAATGTGGCAAAGAGAAAGAAATGGAGACTTTTAGGAGGATATGGTGTGTGGGTTTTTATAGAACATGAGACAGACAGCAAACAAAATAACTTGGCAGTCTAGGCAACTTTTCCCAAGATGATCTTCAGTGGTGTTCTTTAGAAAATATATTGTTTTTAAAGTAGAACCAGTAAGATAAAAATATCTCAGTGTGGAAATACATACTGTTTGGCCATAGCAAATTTTTTTCAGGCAAATCCCAGAAGCTGGTGTTGAGTAGCTACTGTCAGTGTTGAGTGGCTGCTGTCCTGCATGGAGGGCCCTGTGCAGCAGTGCTCTCTGGGGCTGTTTTCTCCCACCCTTCAACAGGTGCTCAGCTGGGACTACTGGGATGGCTTGGATGTGGTCCATGAAATCTGTAATGTAGATGCTGACACCCATCCCTAGGTTTCTGTATTAGCTGACCTGTCTTGGAATTTTTTTCCTCCAGAGGTATCTGGTTGAGACCTACCCCTAGCAGAAAGGGAGAATACCAACAGTAATTAAAAAGCAAAGCAAAACCCCCAAACTCAGAAGGTATTTATGTTATTGCCTCCAATATCTTCGTGTTGGATAGGTGCTCCCAGATAACAAGATAGCAGCAATCAGCAACAATGCTTAATGCGATTTTGCTTGATCTTTTCTACCACAAATGGATCTCTTTTCAATGGTGCAGACTTTTTTTTTTCTCAGTGGTCCAGATCTTTCCTGTAATGGTTTATTCATTTAAA